AAGGCTGGCTGCTGCACAAACCGGAAGTCTTTGTCGATCCACAGCTAGATGAAGGCTGCTGGCCTGTCCAGATCTTTGCACTAGACTTGTTTTCTGCTATTTTCATCTATTTTGATCCAGCGATTTTCTTCAGCTCATCCCGTGATTGATCCGAAGGTCTTCCTCCTGCGGGTCGTTTACTCTCGTGGAACCAAATCTAACGTCTCCCTTGTACAGCTACAGCCTGTTCTTATTGTAGGAATTCCTGCCACTTCTTCACACGGATACCACGTGACATATTTTGATTATGCTCTTATCCATTCATTTGTTTTCTTATTCTTCGTTATTCCCAACACCTTTCCATCCTGTTAAGTAGTTGCAATTTATGAATAGCTATCGAACTTACGGTCTGCCCTTCATAGTAAACCAAAATGGGGGAATCAGCGATTGCGCGGAATTGTTTTCATCTTCAGAATTCGGTTCAAGCACATCCAGTGTTCGAATCCGGCCGACTTATTACATCAACGCCACATCCCTGACATCATGATAGGGCAGCTGCTTTTCTTTCTGCTAATTTTCTAGTGAAACTTCCTGTTCTACTAACTTGTATCCATTCCTTCTCTGTCAGCTGTCCTACCGTTTCTAATGATCATCATTGAGACAAGTGATTGGTATTAGAGCCAATTCATCCTTTCGAAATTTTGCACAAAGCAATTGCTAAAATCAAATTTCTTGCTTGGTATTTTGACTTAACTGCAGTCAAATCCATACAACACAATCGTATAACATTCAGAAATAACAGCCTCAGGTCACGCAACTATGACTACAGTAGTATAAAGCAATGTCGATTTTAACATGATTGACGAAATCTAATTTGACAGATGTTACCAGTCATTTGATCTCTCGTGTCACTCAATAATTGACAAACTTTCTCGCTGCTATCGTTTGTAATTCGGCTCCAGGATCGCATTACTAATCGCGCTCCAGTTTCAATGTATGTTTAATGACATGAAATAGTCACTACAGATGCATGCTGTAGCGATACGCGTGGGAACGTGTCCAAAAAGAATAGTCTAGTCATTTCTGGTTCTCCTCGCTGCGCTCTTCAGATAAACGGAGAAGCAGTGGAGCAAGTGAAATTCACGTACCTCAAGGTCATGCTTACTGGTGAAAAATGGGAAGAGATCGCTGGAAAGAATTAGAATGGTCAACGACATCGTGCGTAAGCTAACCCGAACCGTTGTGACTAAAGCAGAATTGAGTCTTAAGACTCAACTGAATGTATTCAAATCATTCTTCGTCTCCATGCTCACCTAGGGCCATGACTAAAAAATTCAATCCCGAGTATGAAGCTGAACCGGTGTTTTCGAAACGAATCGCCAGACTCACGCTCATGAACATATTCCGGAGTTCAGATATCCGA